TTACGCGAGGCACGTTACGTGCTGACGTCATTAGCGCAATCTCCTTTACGGCTCCTCCTTCCAGAGCTCAGGTCTTTCGCGCGAAATTCACGTCCTGTTAAAAGACCACGTCGGGAAACAAGTTTGCAAACGGGAAACATAGCAACAATTGTTTCTATTGGCAAGTAATTCCGTTACCTACCTTCCTATTTATTTATATATTTGCTTTGATATTAGAATGCCAATTCCCATGTGATCGAAGCGATATGCTTGCCCAGGGATTGGTTTTACTGTTGCCGTCTTAGTTCAGACTCCTCATGGTAGTATAGGCAGAGCAAGAGACTCAACACGTATGTCACAAATTGGTAAACGCAGTTAAATTAAATAAAGCAAGATATGTGCTATCTGCTGTCTGCTTGGTCACAGTGAGACTGAATCCTGCACTGCCTTATTTCAGCAAACCGCGATGTCTTTGTCGTGCTATTATGAAAATTAAAAGTCAATAAAATATGGAGGGAGACGTTAGTATTACTAGTATTTATTGAAGTTAACAGAGCTGTTGTAATTGAGTTAATATGCTATGTGTAATTAATAGCGTTCTTAATAATTTTGATTATTTTTTTGTCCGTTTTATAAAGGGAAACTATATGGTCACTATAACTACAGTTTAATGTAGTTTTATTGGTGTCTGTAGCCTGTCCCTGAAGGTCATTTAATGTAAACACTTTTTATTTTCATAGAAAAGGCAGTGTTTACATTGCTGGCTAGTTTAAAGGGACCATAGTAGCCTAGACTAGTTAATCACATTTAAGTGGTCTCGGTGCAGTGTCCCTGTGCTTTTTAGATGATCTTTATGTATTGTCTGACTCTGTTAAATGTTGCTTGAAGTCCCCATATCCAGCATCAGTGAAAAATCAATAGGAAAGCATTAAAGGCACACTCCAGGCACCCAGACCACTTCTGCCCATTGGAGTGGTATGGGTGCCAACTCTCACCATTCTTAACCCTGCAAGTGTAATTATTGCAGTTTTTATAAACAGAAATTATTTCTTTACAGGGTTAAGTTCTCTTGTGTCTGTCTATCAGACAGCCACTAGAGGGACTTCCGTGTTTTAAATGATGCTGGACATCCTCAAGCTATTCACGATTACCTTCAGCGTCGCCAGAAGCTCCATAGGAAAGCATAGAATAATGCTTTCCTATGGGGAGGTCTAATGCGTGTGCGCGGCCATTGCCATTGGAAAACGGATATGTATCTATCAGAGAGCCACTAGGGGGACTTCCATGTTCTTAGAACACGAAAAGTGTCTTAAACGACGCTGGACGTCCTCACGTTATACATGAGGACCTCCAGTGTTGCCGGAATCCCCATAGAAAGCATTGAATAATGCTTTCCTATGGGGAGGTCTATTGCGCACATGGCCATTGCCGCGGATGCGCATTAGGTCTTCCCCGCCGGCGGGGAAGGAGCGTGGGCGGAGCCTGATCCAGTGCAGAGGGACATCGGCGCTGGATTCAGGAAAGTCAATCAAGGGTTTCTAACTCCTTCAGCAACATGGGATGGGGGGTGGGAAGGAGAGGGGCACTGCAGAGTCCTGCAGTGCCAGGAAAACGGATACGTTTTCCTGGCACTGGAGAGTCCCTTGAAGGCAATGCTTTCCTATGGGGAGAGCTGAATGTGCTTGCCGTGCATGCGTGTTAGGTCCTCCCCCTGTCAGAGAAAGTAGAGCGCAGAGGGACATCTGCTCTGTAGTCAGGTTAATAAAGTTTTTTTTAACCATTTATCTGTTACAGGGGGTGGTATTTCAAACACTATAGAATCCTTTTAAGGACGGAGGAAATTGTACAAGTCCTGACCAAATAAAAGCCTAGAATTTGAGCTATATGTATATTCATCGATAACTGAAGATTACGCTAACGCAGTGTACTAATAATCTTAATTTTAATGACATTTTGCATTAATGAGTATTTTGCATTAACTTTCTTTACTAACTCCATAGCAGCAAAGAAAAAACAATTGAAATAAAGAACCAATCAGAACTTAGTCAGAATATATATGTCTAAGCATATCCATATCACTTTCTCTTGACCAATGCGACATCACAAGTCCATAATGCAACAAATAACATGTCCGATCCAACTTGAAAACCGATAATGGAATTGAGGCCTCCCAGCAATTCATAAGACTTGTTAAACTGAAAGAAAAGAGACTATTATCAGTAATATGGAACTGACCGCATGAAAAAATGTCTGAGTGTATGTATATATATATATGTATATATATATATATATATATATATACCTTTATAATGAATTAATCTGTCTAAACACAGTGCTATAAACATCTGCAATCCATACCATTGTTCATACCAGTACATAGATTTAATCCTTAGAATTAGACAGGTGTGACGGACCGCCTGCCACCCCGACTTGGGTGCCTTAGTCGAAAGATGTTCCTAGTGCTCGCCAAGGACCATCAGTACTGCTCTTGACACCATAACCACTGCAAACCCCACAAACTGCCGCAGCTTGGTTGGGGTTTCGCCGTCCTCCACCCACCCTGGACCCAAAACCGGGCTCCAGCTTCGAGTGGGTGAACCTCTCCTTAGTCCAGAGAGCGAAACCGGAACAGCTATTACAAGAGCTAGTGATTACACTCTGGGGAGTATAGTGATTCTAGCAATCCCCAGAGTGTAGTTCTCCAATCCCCCAAACATGAGCCAAGACTTCATGAAGGGTAGAACAGGTCTGTTTAATGCAAGCCAGCACTCACAATTTATACAATTCCTCAGGCCAGAGGCACACCCCTTGGGCCTAATGGAACACAGGCACACAAACCAATCAGAACAATACAACGTCCGACACTCCCACATACAGCACACAAGCACTCCCTTCTGCCTGTGATACAATTAACTAAGACAATGGACTAACTCAATTCTAAGCAGAAAAAAACATGCGTTTTTACAAACCCCAAAATACAACATATCCCCCCAAATTCACATCTCCTGATAGCCCCCGATTCTGAGTCAACAACATATCCAACAATCACCAAGATTGGTTCAGGGGTTCAGGAATTTCCTGGAAGTCTTAATTTTTGCCCCACCGTGCACATGGTTTCATGCCCAAAACAGTTCCATTCACTCGACAGCAAAACACTGCTTGACAATTTAAGATGGCCGCCGCCACATGTTTGAATCTGTTCCAGTTAAAAGTCCCAGGGGCAGAAACCATGCCTTTAAAATCCAATATGCCCAAATAGTGTTTTTAAAGGGCAACATATCCCAGGGGCCATAGTCACAGGGCAAGAGGCTGGCAAGCTGGCCTCTCCAAGTCCCAGTGACGAAGGTGCTTTTGTCACAACAGGTATGCGTCCTTGAGGTCTAGGCATGTAAACCAGTCCCCTTCTTGGAGGAGGTCCCGTAGTAAGTGTATGTCTTCCATCTGGAAGTGGCGGTAGGTCACGTGGGCATTCAGTTCTCTTAAATTTATCACCGGTCTGAAATCCCCGGTTTTCTTGCGAACGAGAAACATGTTGCTGAAGAAGCCTCCTTGCTCGCGGACGGGTTGTATAGCGCCCTTTGGGCGTAGTTCGCGGAGCTCCACCTCTATGGCGTGAGCTTCCGAAGCGGAGAAGCACAAGGGATGAGGAGGGTACCTCTGTACGGGGAACATTCGTAATTCGATGTGGTACCCGTAGACCGTCTGTAACACCCAAGCATTTGTGGATAGCTTTGCCCAATTCTAGGAAAAAAGAGAAATATGGCCGGCAGTCATGGTTAGTTGAGACATTGACAAGTGTTGGTCTCTTACCTCTGGGGAATCTTGCGTGGGCACGTCTGACCACCACGTCCTCTGTCTGTCCCTTTGGTAATAGGGGTAGTGTTGCCTAGAGCCTGTGTCCTGGTAAGTTTGTTGTGGGTAAAACTGCTGCCTCCCCCATACGGGGGCCTGATGGCCAGAATCGGCTGGTGGCAAGGCCTCGTTGCCGTCTAGCCCTGGAAAAAACACCCCTTGAAGGATTACCTCTGAAGACCTTGCTCATGGATGTGCGGGGCCCTATTCAGAGAGGTAAACACGTTAACGTGCTTGTTAAGCTTTTTCATAAAGGCCTCACCAAAAAGCTTACCCTGTGCCTGTGGGCCCATTTCTTTTGCCCCCAGATCGGCCAGCTTGGGGTCTATGCATTGGTGTTCCAGAGAATGCAGATACCCCTCTGGGTCCATTCTTGGATATCATGTGCCCATTCACGCACCATGTCCACAGTAAATGAGTCTGCCCTGGCGTAAGCGTCATCCTCCAGGTACATCACACTTGCCAGCTGCCTCACTGCGTCCAGGAACTTGTCTTGCACCCCTTTAAAGCTTCTCTCAACCCCTCTTCGCGGGTCGTGACCCCGTCGTTCTATAAAGGCCAGCATGAGTTGGTCGAACTCTGGCGTGAACGCCACCTCGTCTGGCAGGGATGGTCTGGGGCACTCTGCCCTCATCCATTTGTGGACATGCTTCTCCAAAGGTTTGCGGATCCAAAAGTGCATGAACCTGAGGAGATGCTCAGGCGGGGCCCATTCCCCAGAGCGGGTGTGCCGTATGTTCCCGGGGTCAAACATCCTCCAGAAATATCTCCTGTTCCTGCATAGTGGCTGTAGCAGACGACTCCGCATCTCCTTTACACTGGGGCTCACCCGGGAAGGTCTCCTTGACGTAGGCATTGGAGCCCCAATCGCCTTTGCTGGAGTCTGAGACCTCTGCCACTCGTCAAGGATGGAGAGGGAGTGGGGCATATCTTTGTCCTCATCCTAGGAAATCTCCTGAGTATATGTGGGGGCCGTGGTCACAGGTTACTGCGCTTCTCCTTAAAAGAGTAATCTGACTCATCAGAGTTCTCCATATTGTGGGAATGCTTGCCAACCGGCTTGTTCGTTTCAGAGGCCGTTGTTAATACCTTCGCCATCGCCTTCTCCAAGGACGTAGCCACCACTGCGTTGATCATGGCCTGAAGGTTAATTGGGTTTTGTGTGTCCTCCATAATTCGGGCATTAACGGGCACAGGTATGAGAGATGGAGGGACCGTGTAGGAGGGACTTTGACAGGCCATAGGCCGTAAAATACTTGTCGCCCAGTGGTGTGAAAAGCAGATTCTTTAACACTGGGGCTCACCCAGGAAATCGGAACTGCTTCAACAGATTCCGTTAGGCAGCACTCGGGGAACTACCCAAATGGGGACTTACCCCTTGCCAGACTACTAGGGCTGGCAGTCCCACTTCCCAAGGGTAACAATACCAACCTGCACAGATCCCTGTGAGAAGACTGGAATTCACCTCTGGAATTTGGCTGAAAAAAACGTTCAAAACGGGAGTCTTGCCTTGATGAGTGTGATCCTCTGCCAAAACTATACCAACAAAATGGGCACTGTGAGTCTTGCGAGAGAACCGGGCTAGCTGACAGGAAAAAGCCAGCGAAAATCGCTGAGTAAAGACAGGGACTGATTGCTGCTAACGCCCGCAATGTTGTAGAGTCCACAAACGGAATACCACAGTGGAAGTGGCCAGTCGTATAAATAGACCGTTCATGCAAAACTAGACGAACAGGTGAGCCTGGCCGGCCCGTTTGTGTAGAGAGACATGAAACAGTAACTGGCCGCTCTGCTCGCACAAATTATAGTGCGAACAGGCGGGGGAAGTCAGAAGACTAACGGTGGATTCCGACGTCCGTTCGTGTCGAAATGCATGAACACAGTGATTGCCGCTCTGTTCGCACAGATTACATTGCGAAGAGTGCGGGAAAGGAGGTTGAAAGTGGCGAACTTAGCCATCGGAGGGAGGGGGGAAAAGGGAAACTGCTGCCGCCTCAGAAGAGGCTCTGAGGGGAGAGGGGGATGCCCCTCCAACAGTCAACTGCCCAATAGGTATATAATAATTAAGGTATCCCCTGCCAACCCCATGAAAGTAACCTAAATACAATAAAGTCTAACAGAAGACTATAACACAAATTAATAATGAAACTGTTAAGGAATTAGTACTCTGTCCTGACTTGTGATGGAGCAGCAAAGAAAGAGACCGTGATATGGATATGCTTAGACCTATATACTCTGGCTACGTTTTGATTGGTTCTTTATTTCAACTGTTTTTTTCTTTGCTGCTATGGAGTTCGTAAAGAAAGTTAATTCAAAATACTAAGCCTCCTATCATGTTGTAAAATTTATCTCTCTCATATTCAGTGCACCCACACTTATATAATTTTGTTCAGGGGAACGTGTTTATTGCAAATCAAATATATATGGAACACAGTTTTTAATGTGAATAAATTTTTTTTAAAAAGTGTGAGATATTAAGAAATTATTTTCCAACTTCTGCATAGCATTTTAACTGTAAATTTCATAATACTGTTAGCTTGTGCTGCAATAAAATACAGACACTCCTCATTTACCGACCAGGTTCTGTTCCTACGGCCCGGTCGTAAAATGAATTGATCGGTAAGTGAGGAGTTAAGGGATTCCCTGCTCTGCTGCGTTCGTTTCCCCGAACATAGACATGCGCACCAGAGCAGGGAATCCCCAAATCCCCACGACTGCTCTCACTTATGCCTGCTCGTAAGTGCGAGTTGTCGTAAATATCTTGTGAGAAGATCAGAGTGAGGGGGGAGAGAGCAAAAAAACAACAAACAGGCAGAAGATGGTGCTAGAAGGGCCTTCATGCATATCCTGTAACTCTTGGATGGGAATTCATGCATTCTTAATATTAATACTCCCCCCTTCTAGCACCATCTTCTGACTGTATTCTTGTTTTTTTTCTCTCTCTTCCCCCCTTCACTCTGTGATCTTCTCACAAGATATTTCTAACCCTCTGCAAGAATGGTGTATGTTCTATCAAACCTGTTTATCTGCATTCATGTTGCTTTAACCCCTGTATCACAACTTAATTTTGAAATCTATGTTTCGTCTTTCTCAGAAACGTTATATACTTAACCCCTTATGGACTGGACTGTTTTTGCGATGTTGTACATTTGCGACCAGGCATATTTTTACACTTTTGTGGTGTTTGTGTTTGGCTGTAATTTTCCGCTTTCTCATTTACTGTTCCCATACAAATTATATATTGTTTTTTTCAGGACAAAAGGGGCTTTCTTTACATACCATTATTTATATAATCTCATGTATTTTAATTTAAAAAAAATAAAAAAATCTGATGAAAAATTGAAAAAAATACATGTTTTTTGACTTTTACTTGAAAAATCTTTTACTCATCTACAAAAGCGAATGAAAAAAACTGCTAAATAGATTCAAAATTTTGTCCTGAGTTTAAAAATACCTAGTGTTTACGTGCTTTTTTGCTTTTTTTTGCATGTTATAGGGCTATAGGTACAAGTAGGATATTGCGGTTTCAAAACATACATTTTTAAAATTTATCAATAGTGACATTGTAACACTATTATCTGTCATAAATCTCTGAATAACACCCCACATGTACATATTTTTTTAAAAGTAGACAACCCAGGGTATTCAATATGGGGTATGTCCAGTCTTTTTTAGTAGCCACTTAGTCGAAAACACTGTAGAAGTAAGCATTCATATTTGTTTGTGTGTGTGAAAAGTAAAAACTAAATTGAGCAGCTAATTTTGGCCAGTGTTTGTGATGGTTACTAAAACTGAGACCTATTACGCGGGTTTATCACTACTACAAATGTTAATACCATCATAGGGGTGATTTCTCATTCCTGGGCTACCATGCGCTCTCAAAGGCAACGTAACCAACCTGGCCATTTTCAATGTAAAAATATTTGACCCATATATTTGACCTTGTAACTTTCAAAAATGCTATAAAACCTGTACATGGGGGGTACTGTTTTACTCGGGAGACATCGCTGAACACAAATATTAGTGTTTAAAAACTGGAAAGCGTATCACAACAATTATATCATCAGTAAAAGTGCTGTTTGTGTGTGAAAAATGCAAAAAAAGTAACTTTCACTGACAATATCATCGCTGTGATATGTTTTACTGTTGTGAATCACTAATATTTGTGTTCAGCGAAGTCTCCCGAGTAAAACAGTACCCCCCATGTACAGGTTTTAGGGTGTCGTAAAACGTTACAGGGTAAAATACAGTGCTAGCAAATTAAATTCTCTGGAATTTCGGCCTGGGTTGGCAGGCAGGTCCCTCAAAATTGCAATCAATAAAATTACTGAATTATGTAAAAATATTTACATAAATGCAGCACGTAGAATTTTGAAATATATATGCATATTTATATATTTGAAGTCTATGTGTATATTTATATAATTATTTATGTAATTTTGTATATGGACATATGTATATTTCTTATTATTTTTATTTATTTTTATATACATAGATATATATACAAATTCATTCTAAGTGTATTTTGATATAAATATATATATATTAATTTTAAAATACAGTTAGAATAAAATTTCATATAGATATATAATTTTTTTTAAAAATTTTATTTAAAAAAAAATTATTTAATTTAAATAACTTATAGTTATTATATATATTATATATACGTGTGTAATTTAATTATAAGTGTATTTTTATATTAATATAAGTACATATTAATATAAAAATACACTTAATATGGCATTATATATATGATATATAGACATATATAATATATGTCTATATATCATATATACATATATGATATATAGACATATATAATATATGTCTATATATCATATATACACATATATAATTATTATTTTTTTTTTTTATTAACACTAACTTTATTTTTTTCTTCTGATTTTACACTAGCAGGGAGACTGCCTGTCAGCACAGACAGTCCCCCTGCAGGCAGACACATGGACACCTATTGTGACCATGTGATCGTTGTGTTAAGCGATCACATGGCCACAGGGGTCCTAATTCAGTGTGGGGAGACTGTCTGGGCTACAGGCAGTCTCCCCACAACCGGAGCCACGCTGATCGCCGCCGGGGGAACGACGGCGATCAGGTAAGTAGCTCAGACCGTTAGGACGGTTCAGGACCGTCATCGGTCTGCAAGGCAAAAATGCCGATGACGGTCCTGAACCGTCCTCGGTCGGGAAGGGGTTAAAGGACCACTATAGTACCCTGAGGGTGCCCCCACCCTCAGGGACCCCCTCTCGCCCGGCTCTGGAAAGGGGAAAGGGGTTAAAACTTACCTTTTTCATGCGCTGGGCGGGGAGCTCTCCTCCTCCGATCCTCCTCTCCTCCCCGTCGGCTGAATGCGCACGCGCGGCAAGAGCTGCGCGCTCATTCAGCCGGTCACATAGGAAAGCATTCATAATGAAAATCACAGTGAGAAGCACGCAAGCGCCTCTAGTGGCTCTCAATAAGACAGCCACTAGAGGAAATAGGGGAAGGCTTAACCCATTCATAAACATAGCAGTTTCTCTGAAACTGCTATGTTTATGAAAAAATAGGTTAACCCTAGCTGGACCTGGCACCCAGACCACTTCATTAAGCTGAAGTGGTCTGGGTGCCTAGAGTGGTCCTTTAAGGGAGGTTCTCCCCAAAGCTTGTCATTAAATTCTGTTCAATAAAAAGGTATTAAAAGATAGAAATTTTATGTTTTTTTACATCTTCTCCACTCTCTCTCTCCTATTTCCCCACGACAGCTCTCACTTACGCCTGGTCGCACGTGCGAGTTGTCGTAAAACAGGTAGGTTGCTAAATGAGGACCATAACATATTTGGATGATGTGATGTCTCACGGGTACAACGATTTCCCACCTGAGCAGGTTTTATGGCATTTTGGAAACTTACATGGTCAAATAAAGAGCTTGCCCTTTTCAATTCTTTTCTTTTCAATGTTGCCTTTGAGACTTTATGGCAAACCAGGAATAAAAATTACCCCCATCATGACATAACATTTGCAAAAATAGAGAAACTAGGGTATTCAAAATGGGATATGTCCAGTTTTTTTAGTAGCCACTTGGTCACAAAGTTAGTATTCTGATCCAATATCAGTGCCTGACCTCATAAATGATCTACTGGATAAATGGGCAAAAATGCCCTTAGATACACTCCAGAATCTCATGGAAAGGTTTCCTAGAAAAGTGGAAGCTATTTATAGTTACAAAGAGGGGGGGCAATTACATATTAATGTCTATGTATTTAGCATTAAATGTCATAAGTCCCTGGTGGTGTGAAGGCTGTGTAGATTAGAAGTCCTCTCTCCTTGTCATGTGATGACTGTCTCATAGATAATACAATAATCTGATACGAAATTTGAGTAAATGTGTAAAAAAATTTAATTCGAAAATAATAAAAAATAGTATATAAAATTGATAAGTAAAAGTACAAAAAAAATTAAAATTAGTAAACAATGATACATTTTAAGTTGTAAAAATATCTAAATATATAAAAGAATTATCTGATTCAGTGTATTCATAGAATTTTTATATTTAGATATTTTTATAACTTTAAATGTATCTTTTATTTTTTTTTACAAATTTTTTTCTATTTTTTTTTTACACTTTCTTATTAGATTATTGTTCAATAAAAAGGTATTAACCCCTTAAGGACGGAGCCAAATGTACACATTGTGAACAAAACAAAATGTAAACAAAACCTGGCATTTGCGCTACATGTCTGTCCAACCGTAATACACCTCTTTCATAGTAAATGCACCCACCCTTATTATATATCATTTTATTCAGGGGAAACAGGGCTTTCATTTAATATCAAATATTTAGCTATGAAACATAATTTAATATGAAAAAAATGGGAGAAAATACGATTTTTTTGATTTTTTTAGTTCTAAATTGCATTTTAAAGGTCAGTGTCATAATACTGTTTGATTTTACTGCAATAAAATACACATATTTGTATTTAGTAAAGTCTCACGTGTAAGACAGTACCCCCTATGTACAGGTTTTATGGCGTTTTGGGAAGTTACAGGGTCAAATATAGCACGTTACATTTGAAATTGAAATTCGCCAGATTGGTTACGTTGCCTTTGAGACTGTATAGTAGCCCAGGAATGAAATTTACACCCATAATGGCATACCATTTGCAATAGTAGACAACCCAAGGTATTGCAAATGGGGTATGTCCAGTCTTTTTTAGTAGCCATTTGGTCACAAACACTGGCCAAAGTTAGCGTTAGTATTTGTTTGTGTGTGAAAAATGCAAAAAACGCCAATTTTGGCCAGTGTTTGTGACTAAGTGGCTACTAAAAAAGACTGGACATACCCTGTTTGCAATACAGGTTGTCTACTATTGCAAATGGTATCCATCATAAGGTAATTTTCATTCTTGGGCTACTATAGGGTCTCAAAGGCACCGTAACCAATCTGGCGAATTTTAATGTGAAAAAAATGAAACACAAGCCTTATATTTGGCGCTGTAACTTTTGAAAACACCATAAAACCTGTACATGAGGGGTACTGTTGTACTCGGGAGACTTCGCTGAACACAAATATTTGTGTTTCAAAACAGTAAAAAGTATCACAGCAATAATATTGTCCGTGTAATGCTGTTTGTGCGTGAAAAATGCAAAAAACTTCACTTTTACTGGCGATATCATCGTTGTAATACATTTTACTGTTTTGAAACACTAATATTTGTGTTCAGCGAAGTCTCCCGAGTAGAACAGTACCCCCCATGTACAGGTTTTATGGTGTCTTGGAAAGTTATAGGGTTAAATATAGTGCTAGCAAATTAAATTCCCTTTACTTTCGCATGGGTTGTCAGGCAGGTCCCGCTAATTGTAATTAATTAAGATACCTAATTATGTAAAAATATTACATAAATATATATGTAGAATTAATATATGTATATATACGTATGTGTATATATATATATGTGTGTGTATATATATATATATATATATAATTTTTACAAATATTTTTATTTATATATAGGTATATATAGTGATATATACGTATATATTTATGTATATAGATATATATATCATTTCGTTCTACGTGTATTTTGATATATATATATATATATATATATTAATTTCACAAAACAGTTAGAACGAAATAACACAGATCTATATATTTTTTAATTATTTATTTTTAATTATTTTTTTAATTTTATTTTTTAACGTATTTACATTTTTATTTTTTTTATATTATATATAAATATATATATAACAATAATTATATATATATTTAATCAGTATCAGTCTATGTGTAATTTGATATTAATATATATATATAATTATATATATATTAATAGTAAAATACACCTAGACGGTGTATGTGTGTGTATGTATATGTGTATATATATACTTAGATCATATATATAATATATATATATGATCTAAGTATATATAATAATTTTTTTTTACACCATTAACTTATTTTACTTTTATTTTCAGCCAGCAGGGGGACCACCTGTCATTACAGGCAGCCCCCCTGCCGGCAATACAGAAGCCAGCTATACCCGGCCATATGATTGTGGGGTCCTCGCTAGGACCCCACTCTCACATGGCCGGGGGGCTTCAACGAGGACGGATGTGCCGCGGGGGGCTCCCTGGGAGTCCCCCCAACCGCGATCGCCGGCGTGGGACCGCCGGCGACCGGGTAAGTTAACAAAAACCGGAGGGCGTACAATTACGCCCGGCGGCGTTTAGAGCCGCCTATTAGAGGGCGTAATTGTACGTCCTCCGGTTTTAAGGGGTTAAAAGATAGAAATAAAGGGAACACTTACACAACACTGCTGTTGTGCAAATGGGATAGACAACAGGTGGAAATTATAGGCAATTAGCAAAACACCCCCAATAAAGGAGTGGTTCTGCAGGTGGTGACCACAGACCACTTCTCAGTTCCTATGCTTCCTGGCTGATGTTTTGGTCACTTTTGAATGCTGGTGGTGCTTTCACTCTAGTGGTAGCATGAGACGGAGTCTACAGCCCACACAAGTGGCTCAGGTAATGCAGCTCATCCAGGATGGCACATCAATGCGAGCTGTGGCAAGAAGGTTTGCTGTGTCTGTCAGCGTAGTGTCCAGAGCATGGAGGCGCTACCAGGAGACAGGCCAGTACATCAGGTGACGTGAAGGAGGCCGTAGGAGGGCAACAACCCAGCAGCAGGACTGCTACCTCTGCCTTTGTGCAAGGAGGAACAGGAGGAGCACTGCCAGAGCCCTGCAAAATGACCTCAAGCAGGCCACAAATGTGCATGTGTCTGCTCAAACGGTCAGAAACAGACTCCATGAGGGTGGTATGAGGGCCCGACGTCCACAGTTGGGGGTTGTGCTTACAACCCAACACCGTGCAGGACGTTTGGCAGTTGCCAGAGAACACCAAGATTGGCAAATTCACCACTGGCGCCCTGTGCTCTTCACAGATGAAAGCAGGTTCACACTGAGCACATGTGACAGACGTGACCGAGTCTGGAGACATCGTGGAGAACGTTCTGCTGACTGCAACATCCTCCAGCATGACCGGTTTGGCAGTTTTAAGGACATTACATCAAAGTTGGATCAGCCTGTAGTGTGTTTTTCCACTTTAATTTTGAGTGTGACTGCAAATCCAGATCTCCATGGGTTGAAAAATGTGATTTCCATTTTTTTATTTTTGTGTGATTTTGTTGTCAGCACATTCAACTATGTAAAGAACAAAGTATTTCAGAAGAATATTTAATTCATTCAGATCTAGGATGTTATTTTTGTGTTCCCTTTATTTTTTTGAGCAGTGTTTTATCTATGAGACAGTCATCACATGACAAGGAGAGAGGGTTTCTAATCTTTTAAATTCTTAATTATAGGTTAATAGGTTCCCTATTCCTCTCTACCCATCTAACTGTACTGCATTTAAGCAGTAAACTCTCCATATTTTTTCTACTTTTGCTCCACTTAACTCCTATTTTTATATCTAGTGTACATATGTGTTTATGTATGCATTTAATTTAACTATTTTTATTTTCTCCTTTAGGGCCTTTTAAAAGACCTTGAAATTCTGAAATTTACTATTTGTATTTTCTGGCAAAAATGCAACGAACAATAAAGTAAGTTTCATATGTATACTATCTTTTTTTTTTTTTTTTTTTGACCATTTTTATTAAGGTTTTGGGGTACAGAAAGGAAGAGGGGTTTCAGGGGGTGATTGTCAATCAAGTAATTGATGCATTGTTTGTCAAGAAAACTTCACGTAAACATGGTAACATAAAAATAACATAAAGATAATGCAGATAATATAGAGATACACTCCCAGTATCTGGTTAGTTCTTCTGGGTCTGTTTTGGGTGTATCTACCATCGGTTCCGTTCTATCAAGAAACTAAACATTTTCTCTTCTTCAACCAGTCGTTGTTTAGGTTTAACGTCCTGGGTTGACAATTGGGCAGGGTACAGAAAAAAAAAAGAGGATGGGGGGTGGGTAGGAAGGGGATGCTGTGGCGAAACCAACTTCGCCACTGGGCATTGGAGAAGCCTGTTTCCCTGCCTCCTGCCTGCTGACTATGGCCCCTGAGAGATTTGGCCCTCTTAATACAGTATTTTATTATGCTGCTGCTGGCCCTTTAAGAACCATCTGGGGACATACTGTGACTTTTGGGAACAATGCCCCTTTAAGACTATGGCCCTTGGAAGATATTAGCTGTTAAAGACTATTTTAGCAGATTGGATTTTAAGACTTGCTGCCACTTTAAATTGTATTGGAGCAGTTCTGCAGCTTTAAATTGGCACTTCGGATGCAGCCGAAGTAGTCGAAGTGGCCGCCATTCGACAAACCAGTGGCGCACATACCAGGGTTGCAGGGGTCGCGGCTGCGACCGGGCCCGGCCCACCAGGGGACCCGGCCGCCCCTGCGACCCGGTATGTACCCACAGGGCCAGCCTCTTCTCCTGGGGGGCCCAGGAGGCGGCCACCTCAGGGCCCCGCGAGGCTGGCCCTGCTGACCCAGGCAGGCGGGCGTGCTAGCTGTCTGGGTGGCCGGCGCGCGAGGGAGCACTCTCCCCTGAGTGCTTCCTCTTCAGCTCCCTCGCGCACCGCACTGATACCGGAGCCGGAAGATGACGTCATCCCTATGCAGCGCGCGAGGGAGCTGAAGAGGAAGCACTCAGGGGAGAGTACTCCCTCGCGCGCCGGCCACACAGACAGCCCGCCCGCTGGGGTCAGCAGCACCACTGAACCCCAGGGAATCCCCTCAGCTCTCCAAAAGGTAAGGAGGCTGGGGGGAATTAAATGTAAAAAAAATTTTTTTGTGTGTTTTAGTGTGTGTCAGTGAGTGTCTCTTATTGGGTGTGTGTCTGCTAGTGAGTGTGTTTCAGTGAAAGTGTATGTTTTGTAAGTGAGTGTGTATGTATGTCTGTCGCTGAGTGTGTCTCTGTCAGTAAATGTGTGTGTCTGTTAGCTAGTGTGTATGCGTCTGTTCGTGAGAGTGTGTGTGTGTTTTCAGCATTTACCTTTCTCCAGCGTCGAACTCCCTTGGCGCTGGGGATCCCTCCTCCTCTCAGCTCCAAATGCGCATGCGTGGCAAGAGGCACGCGCATTTAAACCGCCCATAGGAAAGCATTACTTAATGCTTTCTGGGTTTGCAATGGTACTATTGCGGCTATTATCGCAGCTTTTTAATAGGACTTTATGTCCGGGAGACCCAATCCTCCCTTTTGCTTGGGTTTGATTAATATCGTGTTGGCCACTCTGGGTTTGCTATTGTTCCAAACGAATCGGACCAGAGTTCTCTGTAGATTAGTGAGGTACGTGTTCAGGAGGGTTATGGGTAGTGTTTGCAAAAGGTAATGGAACTTCGGGATCAATATCATTTTCACTGCTGCTATCCTTCCCACCCATGATAAGAAGCAGCCCTCCCATTACTGCATAGTGGAGGTAAAACTCTGTATAAGTGGTTCATAGTTGTATTTATACAGCGAGGTCAGCTTTTTAGTTAATTTTATGCCTAGGAAGGTAAGGTACTCTTTCCTCCAGTCAAAGGGCAACGGCGATAGTGGGCACCCCTGTCTAGATCCGTTCGTAATGGGGAAAGGGTCTGACAAGAAGCCAGCATTTAACTCATTCACTGAGGGTGCAGAGTACAGGGCCCTGACTGCCGACCTGAATCTCCCCGGGATGTTAAATTTGTTTAGGACCCCTTCCATGAAGCCCCAGTGCAAGCTGTCAAAGGCTTTTTCTGCGTCGAGGGACATTATTAAGCCTTCCTTCTGTGTGCCTTGCAGTCCACAAATTATGTCTAAGAACTTTCTAGTGTTGTCGCTGCCTTGGCCGAGTCGATTATGGTTGGTAAGACTATGCTCAGCCTAGCCGCTAGCACTTTAGCAAACAGCTTGATGTCTGTGTTAAGCAGGGATATAGGGCGAAAGTTTGGGGCTGGGTAGGTGGCTTGCCGGGTTTGGGGAGTGTCACTATATGACACTGGCATTCTCCTGGAAGTGTACCTAGGTCACTAGCTTCGTTAAAGGTTGCTGTCAAATGTAGGGTTAGGGTGTTCCTGAAGCATTTGTAGTAGCAATTAGTGAATCCGTCTGGGCCTGGGGCTTTATTGTTGGGCAGTATTGCTTTGTTAACTTCAGATTCTAAGATTGGGGAGGAAAGTAATTGGCTTTGTTCTTGCATTATTTTGGGCAGGGGAAGAGGGTCTAGGTATCGCTCTGTCTGGGAGTGACAGCTATAGATTGTATAGCGAGGCATAGTACCTGGCAAATTCGTTGCTGATGTATTTCGGAGCTATAATTTCTTTTCCCCTCCTTGGATATTAGGTGGGCGATTTTATTTATTTATTTGGCTGGCTTGCTGGTTTCGTAGTCTATTTGCTAACATCTTGCCCGCTTTGTTGCCCTGGGCGTAGTGTGATGCTTTAAGTTTGTCATTTATATCCGGTCTTCTCTAGGGCCTGTTGGTTAATTTGCCTAGTTATATGTTGAATTTTGGCCTGCAGGGTGGTGGATGGGGTTGCTTGGTTCTGCCTGGTTAAGTCCTGGAGGTCTTTTTGCCAGCCCACTAATTGTGTTTGTGATCTTTTACGAAGGTATGAGGCCCTCCTTATCAATAAGCCTCTGATGACTGCTTTGTGTGTTTGCCAGATGTTCACCTGGGTGGTCTCGTCAGGACTATTCTCCAAGAAGAACAGTCTCATCTGTGTGCCAATGTGTTAGTCACCGGGGCGTGATCAGACCAGGATATCCCCCCAATTTCACATTGAGTCATTTGGTCTAACGCCTGACCCTTTAGAAGGAAGCCATCTATACGCGAGTATGAATTATGCACTGAGGAGTGGAACGTAAAGGCTTTTTCGCTAGTGTGTAGTAGTCTCCACGCGTCATATAGATGGTATGTGTGGAGCAATTTATGTATTGCCTTTTTAAGGGTATAAGTCTGGGACTGTGTGCAGGGAGAGTAGTATCCATAGATGGGTCTAAGATATGATTGAAGTCTCCGCATATTACCGTAATGCCCTGTTGTTTTTCTACTTTTGTGGTGAGAATTTTGTGAAGGAAGTTTCTTTGCTCAAAGTTGGGTGCATAAATGTTGACGATAGTGTACAGTATTCCGTTAAATGTGCCGATGACCATTGCATATCTGCCCTCCCTATCTAGTCCCTATCTAGCACGTGAGTGGGGTGTGAACGCCACATGTCTGCTAATCTGTATAGACGTTCCTTTTGCCTTCGTTGGGGAGGTGGCATGAAATTGGTGGGGGTATTCCCTACTCAGGAGTTTTGGGTGGGTATTTTTCTTGAAATGGATCTCCTGTAAGCATACAACATCCGCTCTCTGTGAACCAAGTTCTCTGCTCAGGTGTTGTCTTTTTACCAGGGCGTTTAGTCCCCTTACGTTGTGTGTGTGTGTGTGTGTGTGTGTATATCTTCATGGGGGTCTAAACCCCGTCGTGAATATCAGAGCTAGGTTTTGCAAATGAGTTCTATTAGAGGGCGCTGCATGTCCAAGTTGCAACAAGCAATGCAGCCCACCTCTCAGTGTTATTCCATCTGTGCAGTGTACACAATGGATGCTATGTTTTGTTTCAGGTGTAGGGTGTGTCTCCCTTGTCTCAGAGGAAGGATGGGGTGTGGTTAGGGGGTTGGCCAGAACAAGGCTAAAGTATGAGAAAAGGAAAAGTATGTACAAACGCTGTGCGCAGGGATACCTGCCACGGTAAAGTGAAGGCACTTCGTATGGGTGCGTGAGGGATAGAGGCTATCGACCTCCATATTTGTGGCTAACGAGCTCTATGAGGCATTGTTTGGGAAAAGAACCAGAACCTATTTGTAACATTGTGAGTTATATCATGCTAACATCAGACAATACCGGACATATAACATTCATCACAACTAACATTTCACATTTAATCTTGCCCATGCACGTAACTGACTCTCGTGTAGCGATATTACTCACAATGGGGCATTGGGGTGTAGCCTTGATCAATTGGTTTGGCTGGTTTCCCTTAGGCCCTGGGTGTACTCCTACCTGTGTGATTCTTCCCCCCCCCCCCCTCCCCT